ATACAATTTTTTGGAGGGAAAATTAAACCCGAATATTAAATAATGTTACACCTGGTTATTTAGATTTGGTGGATTTGAGCATTGCATCAAATGTATATACTACAAATTAAATTTCAACTGTCTAAACTTATAACTATATTACTTGAAATATTAAATACAATTAGTTCGATATCTATATTTTCTAAATTTTCCATATTTTCCATATTTTTATTTTATAAATGAAGGAAATTGAGTATTTTCAATTGGATTACCGATTTTATTTTTTGATGAAGTCAAATGTTTGGGTGGATATTGCAAAAAGTTAAAAATATGTAGGATGTTGTAGATATACATAATAAGGTTGTGGACTACCTAAAATGCCGATTACACTTCACTCGAGTTGCAGCCGATCGATGTATGTGATCGATCACTTGTAATATCGACAATATTTATTGCAAATATTAGTGATAAATTACACATGATATCAATATTTTTTGCTCAAGTATACATGTACGTAGATAAATGTCTTAAAAAACTATATTTCGAAGTGTACGTAATTTAGTAATTAACACTTATAATTAGTACGACGTAGTTTTGAGTGGACAAACTGAAGGCATGGGGGGTAGGTTTGTTTAACGAAGAGGGAGCAAATGGTCCATATTTATGCCATGGAGAGTTTGCGTGCATGTTAGTTGCCACCACCACAAGCAAATTAAACTTCTCTCTTAATTAATCAATATAATTAATTCTCTAGCTCTAATTAATGTAAATGTACAAATTTCGAGGGGTGGGGTATAATAATATATAATCAATAAGGCTCTCACATGCCCTAATCGCCCTCCTCTCACAACAAACCACGTGGCCCCCTCTCAATCATTTTCCTTACATCACTCCCAATGTAGTAGTATTTAGTTAAGGTACTAAGATACCATTTACCTAAGTTCCAAGTAATCAAATCTTCTTTTTTTTTTTTTTTTTTTTGAGTTTGATCCTACTTACCAATATTTTCTAGTCACACATGAATACATGATTAATTAACCTATCATTGCTTTACATATTCATATGATGATTTGCGAGTTATTGTACAAGAGCGAAGTTAACCAAATACAGTTCGAGTGGCTGCATTCTTTTGGCCCATATAAAAAGTAATCACATCTCTTGCCCCACGAAATAACAAAATATTATCAAATTCGACAAAGTTTGAACACTTGAATTTTTTAAAAAATGGCAAATATATAAAACCCTTTTTGCTTTTTTATATTTTCTAATATCTAAATATTATGAAGAGCATGAAAAAAAAGAAGAAAAAACTTAACTTGGGGGAGTTTGACATTTTCTTAAAATATTGGTTGCTTCACAAGAAAATTGCATGTGCTTTTGTTATGATCCTACATGTGAATGGAATTCAAGTCCCATATGCCTAATTAAATTGGTCCACTCCACCAAAGTCAATTTGGCGTTTTTTGTATTAAAACTCATTTTTCTTCAATTATAGTTCTTGAGGAAGTTTTCAGTGAATTAAATAATAATTTCCCCAATATATTTTATAATGTATTTTAAGAAGAAAAAAAAATCTCTTGACCTCACCCATAATAATAAAGACTCCTTTGATTTCCATTATTAAGTTCTACATATAGACTAAATAGTAAGGAGTAATAACATATTCAGCTGATAAGATTCGTTCTTATTCAAAACAGCTACGGAAATTAAAGTTCGCTACTACATGCTACTATTTCATTAATTTAGTAACACTCGTCCCCTGTGTAGTTAGTTTTGTAGGGGGGTGAGTAAACAAGAAAAAAAATATTTTTATCCTTAAAATCATAATTTATTTTTATGAAATAAGATGTTTTATGGACAAATTCAATATAATACCAGAATTTAACTAATTTCATACGATCCAAACATATTACTAACTAAATAATTAGTTAGTCGGTAGAAAATTAATCCAATCTTATATCCAATATAGGTAACCGAACGAGCTCTAAGACATTATACTTATCTCGCAAATTACATTAACTAAACATGACCAATATAATTAGATTAAAAAAAAGAGAGCATGTTTATTGGTTGTGAGAACTTTAGTAATTCAAATAGTTACTTGTTTAATTAAGAATTAATATATGCTTAAGAGTATAAAACGAATTCCAACTATGTACTTTCCTAGTGAATAAAAAAAGAGTTTTATGATTAAATGATTAACAAATAAAAAAATTGAAGTTTGAAAATGCATGATTTGGACATAATCGATATATTAGGTGGTGTAATTAAATTCAATTTATTTATTTTTTATTTTGTGTTTGTTATGTTTTTTTTCAACAATTTCATAACTCTTGTCTGAAATGTCACTTCTTGTCCCTTAAACTAAGCTTGAATTAGTCAACAAAGTTTTGAATCAGTCAATCAAGTGTTTACAATTTCAAATGCCAACTTAGATAATTAGTTGGGGGATAGTTAGACATGGTGATAACATGATTAAGAATTAATCCTAGTCATTAGCAACCATGTCTACAAATTCAAGTTTCATGCGACATAAATCAAACGTCGTAAATAACAAAAATATTTGAAAATCCTATTAGTCGAGGTAAACAATTCATATAAATACTTATTTTTCAAAAGCATGTATTCCACGCTTAGATAATTTAAATAAAAACATGGGGGTTATATATGCTCCTAATTAGTAAGTGTTTTAAAATATAAAAACTCCTTAAACCAGGTGTAGGATCTCACAGGCCGTCTAGTTAAGCGTGGAGTGCGTAAATGCCGTAAACTGCTTAACTATTTTTATTTTCATTTTTTATTTCCTGATTGATAACATCATGAATTTCGAAGTTCAAAAGAATATTTTAAATAGTTTCGGACGCTCCCTTTTTTTTTTTTGATTTTTTAATTATTTGAATTGTCGATCGAATATTATATATGAAAAATAAATTTATATAAATATAAAATGGCACAAACGCTTCATTTTGTACTTTTTTTCCCGCTTAATAGTCAAACAGGGCAGGCATATAACAAAGGTTCCCAGATCGTTCGTCAAAAGACTCTGGTTCCCTCCAATATACGTAAAACCCGATTTTGCGTCGTTTATTTTATTTTATTTTAAGTTTAAACCGATTAAAAAAAAAGGCAATGCTACTATGCCCTGATGAGCTGTCTAATTAAGGATCCAAATTGCAATTAACAATCCCTAAAAACGCAATAACCATTCCTCCAAATTAAATCAGCGTGTTTATAAATCAACAGTGTCACCTACTTTGCCATTTCAATTTTCTTAATATTAGTACTTCGTTTTACCCAAAACGGATCTTCTTTAGATTCTCCCTGTGGCTTACACACTTGTGTAGGTCATGTGATCAGGGCACTAATTATAATCAAATGCCTAAAACTAACGGCGGAATTCGTTGTTTCCTGGTTTCACGTTTGGATTTTTCTTTTTATTTATTTAATCCCGACGATGGCATATTCTTGATTTCGATTTTTTTTTTGGAGTTTGTAGAGTCACAGGCTCTTTATGTTTTCCGATATACATTCTTTTTTCTCCGCAAGATTTGTTATATTGTACAATATTGACAAATTTGCTACATTTGTTTAATTAAATGGCGCTTAGTTAAATGACCTGAATTTGAATTTTTTTCATTAATTATTTTGTGAGTTGAGTTTCTCACACATGGAAGATGGACGATGGCTATTACTGTTTAAATATCTATATGTGTTTTGTAAATTACTGAATGAATTCGAATGTTACCGAGTCTTCCCCGCGTGGACAATTGCTGTCAAACTCAGGCGAACACAATTATACATATAGAATCGTAAGAGGCTGACTTGTGAAGTTAAAAAGGTTGTTAGAGTGTTAATATCATGAAACAAATAATATATATTTGATGCCAAAATTATAAATTAGTATATTATATAGAAAAAGAAAGAGAAAGAAGTAGGGAGAGTTATGGTGAAGGTGAACATGAAAGTAAGGGATGGGCCCAATTAGGCGGGTAGGATATGGACCAAAGCACGGCTGCGGGTCCAGTTTTACATGGGCTTTGTTCCTCTTTTCACCATCGCTTCTTCACGCACCTCCGATTTCCTGTCGGCACTTCTTCTCAACAATATTTAACACCCAAAAAAGAAATACTAAAAATTGAGGGGTATAGTAAATAGAAAACTAGAACATAGTTTATGTAGCCATTCAGTTGTGGGCCGCCCATTTCTGGGCCTTCTCCACATGGACAATTGCTGCTAAACCAAGTCTAACAATCTTTTTCCTCTCATAAATTGCTTTAGCTGGGAATGCTTTGATACTGTGGAATGTTCTCTAGTTTGTACTCATTTTGTGCAAAAATACAGTTTTTGATGCACCACAATGTGATATTTACAAGCCAACGGATACATCTTATGATCATCTTGTTTCAAAATATGGAGCTCGAATGGGGTAAAACAGATACAAAATAGAGAATATTCCACATAATCTGTAAGATTCCACTAAATTTGACAGCACAAGGATAGACGTGTAAAAAGATTTATAGTTGAGGGGATGTTTGTAATTATCGAAACTAGAGTGTTTTTTCTTCATAATTTGACCTTATCTTAAGGGGTTGCTGTAATTTACCCTATAGTTTAATTAGTATTTAAAATTTAATTAATTTAAAGAATAAAATGGAAGAACTAGTCCAAGTGCATGGACAACATGCATATGCATTACTTGAAAACCAATTCTTTCATATGTATAATATATAATATATTCCATATCCAACAAGCAAAAGAATTGAATTTATTTATATTTTTGATTTAAAAATATATCCATAATGTAAGGCTATAGAGAAATAATTGGTGTCAAAACTGTAACCGGTCAAAAACATGTTGGGACATCTGACGTGGCCATTTCTTTACTGCTAACCCCCCTTATATATACAACCCCCCACTCAATCTACCCAGATAGCAACATACCTTCTCTTACAAACAAAACAAAAACTTAAACATCTATCTATCCCTCTCTTTCTCTCTCTACTATCTCTCTCTCTCTAGAATTTCCTTTAGCTGATAATTGTTAGGTTATTGGACGAATTAAATTAAAATTAAAATATAAATCTGATCATTGATCATCAGTAAAGAAAATGAGGCTGTCAAAGAAAGCCACATGTAATTCACACGGCCAAGATTCTTCCTACTTTCTAGGATGGCAAGAGTACGAGAAGAATCCTTACGACGAGCTCCGTAATCCCGACGGAATTATCCAGATGGGTCTTGCTGAGAATCAGGTATTTATTAATTATCTTTATATAAATATATTTATTTAAATGATTAATTAAATGCTAATTAACTAATAAAATTGACCTTCTTCTCCGGCCGGACAGCTCTCATTCGATCTACTGGAAACATGGCTAGCAGAAAATCCAGACGCAGCTAGTTTCAAGAGAGATGGAGACTCCATTTTCAGAGAGCTTGCTCTCTTCCAGGATTACCATGGCCTCCCTGCTTTCAAGAATGTATGCACCATGCAATATTTATTTTATTTACTAATTAAATCAAATTGAATTTCGATCGAGTAATATTCATAAACGTACCAACGCAGGCTCTGGCACAATTCATGGCAGAAATCCGAGGAAACAAAGTCAACTTCCAACCTAACAACCTAGTCCTCACCGCCGGCGCCACGTCAGCTAACGAAACCCTCATTTTTTGCCTCGCCGACCCCGGCGACGCCATTCTCGTCCCCACTCCTTACTATCCAGGGTACGTACGCACTCCATAACTCTCTCTCTCTAGATCTCTCTCTTCACTTCATGAATAATTATTGACTAACTGAAAAAATGGATGAATTAATGCAGGTTCGACAGAGACCTAAAATGGCGAACCGGAGTGGAAATCGTGCCGATACAGTGCACCAGCGGCAATGGATTCAGGATCACTGCACCTGCTCTAGAGGAGGCTTACCACCTTGCACAGAAGCGTAATCTCAAAGTTAAGGGCGTATTAGTCACTAATCCTTCTAATCCACTCGGGATTACCCTCACGCGCCACGAGCTCAACCTCCTCGTTGACTTCATCGACGCCAAAGGCATCCACCTCATCAGCGACGAGATTTACTCCGGCACCGTCTTCACCTCCCCGGATTTCGTCAGCATCATGGAGGTCTTGGTCAACCGGAACTACGCCGGAACGGAGCTTTGGAACCGGGTCCACATTGTTTACAGCCTGTCAAAGGATCTCGGCCTCCCGGGTTTCCGGGTCGGGTGCATCTACTCCAACGACGGCCGGGTTGTGGCGGCGGCGACAAAAATGTCGAGCTTCGGCCTGATATCGTCGCAGACTCAGTACCTCCTCTCCGCCATGCTCTCCGACGAGAAGTTCGCCGGAAACTACATCGTCGAGAACCAGCGGCGGCTGAAGAGCCGCCGCGAAATGCTGGTGGGCGGGCTGAAAAGCGCGGGAATATCCAGCCTGGAGAGCAATGCGGGGTTGTTCTGCTGGGTTGACATGCGACACATGCTGACGTCAAAAACCTTCGAAGCGGAAATGGATCTGTGGAAGAAGATTGTGTACGAAGTCGGGTTGAATATCTCGCCCGGTTCGTCGTGCCACTGCGTCGAACCGGGTTGGTTCAGGGTTTGCTTCGCCAACATGTCGGAAGACACGCTGGAGCTGGCCATCCAACGGCTGAGATCGTTCGTGAAAGGCATCTGCTCCGGCGGCAAGAATAATAACAGTAGTACCAAGAATTCGAGCAAGAATAACTCGAGAAGGAAGATTCTGTCAAAATGGGTTTTTCGGCTATCGTTCCATGATCGTGATCAACGTGAGCGATAAGTCTTTTCAGTGTGAACTGAATAACACCCACCATTAATTATTTTTTTATTATTTTCTTTTCTTTTTTTTGAAACCCTTTTTGGTTCATTTATTTAGAGAGAGAAAGTGGTGCACTCTGTCCCATGTGGACGTGAAGTGTTTGAATTGTGCTTCATTTATTAATTATTTTATTTTATTGTAAACCCTTGTTTAATTTTACTCATGGTTTGATGAAAAAGTTGTCCAATTTAATTATTAAACGTTATTAGTAATTCTTTTTAATTTGCAGATGAGTAAATTTAACGTTAATCGCAATTAACATATTACAAGGGCACGATTGTCGGTGAAAGAGGATGTCGACATTGGATTGTTGGCGGGTTTAATTTGTCAAACTCAATTAACAATGCTAATTGGGAATTAACCAACCATATAAGCAGCATAACTCATAGAGTCAAAGGATTTATACTTTTAACTTTTTTTCTTTTTTTTTTAACAAAAGAATCTGCAGTCAAGTATATAAGTGCACTGGATAAATCTAAACTCTTGTATAATAGCTTGCAAATTATACGAGAGACGTAAATTGCACTAGACTCACCACGTGTGACAAGCTCGATCTGACAATCGTTGGTACTTGTCTCAATACTATGACTTAGTAAAAGAATTGAACGCAATATAAGTCAAATGTAGATATACTAAAATATGGTATGTCCAAAGCGTACTTTCTATTACAATTAATGGAATTTCGATCAAAAAATAAATAAATAGATAAATAAAAAATAAAATAAGACCTAGTTTGTCAACCCAAATTGTTACTGAAAAAAGTAGTAGTAGTAGAAGAAAAGTCAGTTTTTTATCTATATACATAAAACTAACTGCGGAAGGGGCCACGTATTGAGTTGGCTGCAAGTAATAAACAGTTTCTGCATTCAGAGTTCCCAAATTTCAACACATACACATTACATATCAAACTACGCCGTTTCTAGTATCAAATTTAGGCTACAATCAATGGACAATGAATCAATCAATAATTAAATATTTACCGGATATATATATATATATACTTCACATTAATTCACACGGTATACAGTGTGAAATAAATCCTAATTGGAAACTCACCAAATCTAACTTCCTTTAAAGGGGAACATAATCTTCAAAAAGCTAAGTCTTATGCATGATTTAAGCGGAAAGATTCCATTATATATATATATATATATATATATATATATATATATATATATATATATATATATATATGTGTGTGTGTGTGTGTGTGTGTGTATTTTGCTGATTATTGACAATCAAAAGGTTAAGCCTAAAGGAAAAAAAGTAGATTAAAAATATATTAGCTCTTTTAATTTAAGATTTTTTGCAACTTAATTTGACAAAAGAATTGGACTTAAGATTTGGATGTGTCTCATCGGTTAATCAACTAAATTAAGACATAATTAATAGACAATTTCCACTGAAAATAGACAACTTAGTTGAAGAGTATGAATTGGAAATAGACAACCTAAACAAGAAATGATAACTTAGTTGGATGATTTGACCTACAAATAAACATCTTAGTTGAAAATAACATTTTTTCAATGATGTCGTGACGCAAAATTAGACGGTCGGTGACATGGGATTAGTAGGGAGAGGCGAAATAATAGAATACATGTCATTTCTTGGAGTAGGTGTAGTTTTCAGCTTCCTTTTTTTCACTTTAATTTTGCTATTATTTTTTTTTCTTATTTTTCTTATATATATATATATATATATATATATATATATATTGAGTGACACCATACATAGAATTGTAACGAGACAAAAGAGAAGTCTACAACATTGATTGAGCAAAAAATTAAATAAAATGCAGTATCTTTACTACCTAATTATATCAACTTTTATTAGTTTAATATAACATAAATAAATCCCTTGCATTATAGGCCGACGATATACATTGACGGTTGACCCCATTATTAATGTCATAAAAAACAATAATATATAGTCACTATTGTACAATAAGTCTAATTTCAGAATTCGGTCGTTACAACTTCTGATATCTAATGATAAGCTACAATTATATTTTATTACATATATAATAAATATTTGTATTTATTTCATATATTATCATGATATGCGGCTGAAATCCTAATCCGATAGCATGTGACATGAGGGATTTGTTTTTCCTATTAAAAAAAAATAATAAATTAAATTGTATTATATATATATATTCAACTAATTAAAATATAAATCTCTTCCCCATGTTATTATTGACCATATCCATGTGCTTTGCGATTTGTTTTATAACTAAATAACGAATTTGATTTTATTTTTAATCATTGATTTATGGTGGCTAGGGTGCCAATTGATCAATATATACATTTAATTAATGCTCAAGAGCAAATATATACCGTTAATTAAATTAAACTGAATAAACGTCCTAGTATCGTGACAAACAAATATGTAATACCTAGTTGACCAGATTTCCATATAAACTCATAATTATTCGTCGATTAACCAACAACTGAATTATGTGTTGCAGTTGCAGTATATCTACTTTATTAAATGAATATGTATATCATATTTAAAAATTTGAATCTACCAAAAACAAAAATATTAATTAAGCAACTAACTTAATTAATTAATCAATCTTCAGTTCAATTTTTTCGTCATGGTCTCATGATAGGATGCTCTCATTTAGAAATTTAAAATTGCTAAGATTAAATTATTAAAAGATAATTTTCACTATGCATAATTATGCTACTATATATATATATATGGTGGCAAAATCGAAATTTGAATGGGAGTATAACAATTAATTACAGACGATGGTGATGATGAAGTGGCATGGTGGTGTTCACGTGGGAATCACGTGAGTAATGCTCCGATCCCATGCAAAAATCACATGCAAAGTGAAAGAGAACAGAGAACACCTGCTTCAATAATGTTAAATGGGTCGGGTATTAGGGTTACCCGGCTGGCTCAAACCAATATGGGGTGGCCCTAGCCAAATAATTTTTTTGGGGGCCCTTGTATTAATTTTTTAAATTAAAATTAAATATTTATTTTTGGTATTTTCTTATTATTTGAAGTGGAAACATTAAAATTATTAGATCTTATGTATATTTTCTTCAATTTGGCTTTCATATAAATATTTTTGTTTAGTTTTATGAAAATATAAAAACAAAAAATTAAATTTGGGAGCCTAAATTATAATACACATAATTTAGGGGGCTTTATGAATATTACAGATAGTTTAGGGGGCCCTAGGCATAGGCCTAAGTTGCCTACGCAATAGAGACGGCCCTGGTAATGTAGACAACCTGGTATACATATGTAAAGACAGGAATGAACATATTAACATGATCTCTTGTCTCTGATTCTAGTAATACTGAATTTACATCATAATAAAAGTATGACCCACTCCCCATACCATATTATATCCTGATGATGCTAAAAAGTAGATCACCTGGGGTAGTGTAGAAAATGTATTGGGAGAGCAAAGCGGATCGGTAGCTTGACAACTTGATGATCCTGAGGTACCTGCGAAATGAACACACGTGAACTACGCCGGGGGTTGATCCGGCGGAAACCCCTCCGACGCTCAAGTCAGACGTGCTGATCATAGAATTAGTCCAGAGAATACGTATTGTAGTATTGCTCAGTTCATAGGACGTACCTTAATAAAATGAGTAAAACCTCTATTTATATGTCGTTTATTGGGTTGGGTTTGCTTTGTTGGGCCCAAGCCTTACTTGAAGGTGTTTGGGCCTCGGTGATATTGGTCTTCGATATAATTGGGCTCGTAGCCCAGTAGGTAAAGAAATTGTAGGCCCATTGGGTTGGCCCAATTAGGCATATCATTAAGCCCCCCACTCTCGAGTTGATGTGGGGGCCATGTTGTGATGGGTCTCAGATCGTGTCGAGAGTAAAAATTGTAGAAGTCGATCGTTGGCGTATGGCCTAATGGTATGCGAAAATGCGTTGGAGCGTGTGTCGGAGGGGTGTGAATGCGCGTTGGCGCATAGCGTGAAAAAGTTGCCGCGATATAAATTAATTGAGTCGTCGGTTTTGTCCCGCGACGATGTAGTAGCGATTTATCTCCTCGTGGGAGTTATCTTGTCGCGGGGTAATAGTGTTGATCGAGTTATCTCCTCGTGGGAGTTGTCTCGCGATAATGTGGTAGCACGGATCAAGTAATCTCCTCGTGGGAGTTGTCTCTGGGGTAATCGAGTTGATCGAGTTACGTCTTCGTGGAAGTTGTCTCACGATAATGTAGTAGCACGGAGCTAGTATTCTCCTCGTGGGAGTTGTTATTTTTCGACATTTTCAATGTTTTGACGCGTTGCTCGTATGTGTTTACATATAGCCTTCTGCGTGATGTACTTGATGAGGGGATCAGGCTCTCAAGATTTTTTTATATGGGGGTCGTGCCCCTTGTTAGACCTCGTGGGTCTTAAGTATGTTTGGACCGTGGCCACGTTTTAATGAATGACCCATCGAAAACAAGTAGATAAAGTTGAGTAATCAAGCTGGCCAGGCTATATAGATTCTCATAATATCTCTAAGTGCTTCTAGGGTTGTAATCGTGCTAACTTGAGCTTGCGATTATATGGTGAATTTCGGGCGAGTTGTCTCCTCATGGGAGTTGTCTCGCGGTGAGTAATATTATCGAGTGAGGTGGTTGCACGTGAGAGTTGTCTTGCAACGGATTTGTAGTGTCGAGCGAGTTGACTCCTCGTGGGAGTTGTCCCGCTGCGGGTTAGGGTACCGAGCGAGTTGTCTCCTCGTGGGAGTTATCTCGCTGTAGGTTGTAGTACCGAGCGAGTTGGCTCCTCGTGGGAGTAATCTCGCTGCGGATCATAGGATGGAGCGAGTGGTCTCCTCGTAGGAGTTATCTCGCTGCGGGTTCGTAGGACCGAGCGAGTTGGCTCCTCGTGGGAGTTTCCTCGCTGCGGGTCGTAGGATGGAGCGAGTGGTCTTCTCATAGGAGTTATCTCGCTGTGGGTTCGTAGGACCGAGCGAGTTGGCTCCTCGTGGGAGTTTCCTCGCTGCGGGTCGTAGGATGGAGCGAGTGGTCTCCTCGTAGGAGTTATCTCGCTGTGGGTTCGTAGGACCGAGCGAGTTGGCTCCTCGTGGGAGTTGCCTCGCAACGGGCTGTAGGATTGAGCGAGTGGACTCCTCGTGGGAGTTGTCTCGCTGTAGTTTTGAGACTAGAGGGGGTTAGCTCCTCGTTGGAGTTGTCCCACAACGGGCTATAGGACGGAGCGAATGGTCTCCTCGTGGGAGTTATCTCGCTATGGTTTCGTAGACCCGAGGGAGGTGGCTCCTCGTGGGAGTTGTCTCGCTGCGGGTTGTAGGACGGAGCGAGTTATCTTCTCGTGGGAGTTGTCTCGCTACGGGTTGAAGTTCCGAGCGAGTTGGCTCCTCGTGGGAGTTGTCTCGCAACGAGTGTGTAGGGCCGAGCGAGTTTGCTCCTCGTGGGAGTTATCTCGCTGCGGGTTGTATTACTGCGCGAGTTGGCTCCTCGTGGGAGTTGTCTCGCAAGCCCCCCACTCTCGAGAGAATGTGGGAGCCACGTTGAAAAGGGTACCGGATCTTGTCGAGAGTAGATCGGTGTTGTAGTCTTGCGTTAATCGTTGGCATGGTGTGGAGAAATAATTTTTTTTTTTTTTTTTCTCCATTTGATAGCGAACGCAATTTGGCAGGTGCGTTAAAGAGCTCGCGCAATTTGGTGGAGCGCGTTGAAATTCTCGTGCGATTTGGAGAAGCGAGTCAAAATCTACGCGCAATTTGGTGGAGTACGGTGAAAGTTGAGCGCGATATGATGGGAGCACGCAGTCCAAGGGTTCCTTGGAAAGCGCGCGCGCGTGCTTGCGCGCGCTCCAATATTTTTTTTTTTTTTTTTTTTTTTTTTTTGACTGCTGATGCGCGCGTGCTGTGCACGCGCGGGCGTCAGGCGCGTATCGGCCACGCGCGCGTGCGGTGCACGCGCGCCTCTTCGTTCTTTTTATTTTTTTTTTTTTTTTTTTTTGGCTGAAGCGCGCGTGCTATGCACGCGCGTGCGGTGCACGCGCGCCTCCGGCCTTTTTTTTTTTTTTTTTTTTTTTTTGAAGTTGACGCAGGCGCGCGTCAGCGCGCGCGTGCGTGCGCCCTCTCCTCCTCTTTTTTATTTTTATTGTTTTTTGTTTTTCTTCTTCTTTCTTCTTCTCTTTTTTCATCTTCTTCTTTTTTCTTCTATTTTTTCATCTTCTTCTTTTTTCTTCTATTTTTTCATCTTCTTCTTTTTTCTTCTATTTTTTCATCTTCTTTTTTCCTCTTCTTTCTTCTTTTCTTTTTTCTTCGTCTTCTTTCTTCTTCTCTTTTTTTTTTTTGGTTGATATTCACCCCCTTGGGGATGTTTTATTTTTTGAATAGGGATATTACCCTAGTTCCTTGAGATGGGATGTGCACCCCCTTGGGGATGTTCTATTTTTTGAGTAGGGAGATTATCCTCGTTCCTTGAGATCGGATGTGCGCCCCCTTGGGGATGTTCTATTTTTTGAGTATGGAGATTTTCCTCGTTCCTTGAGATCGGATGTGAACCCCCTTAGGGTTGAAAGGTAAGGGTGATGCCCAACTTTAGGATGGGGATAACTGCCCACTGTAGGATGAGGCGCTCGAGACCTATGGTCTGAGGTTGATGCGCACGGTTGTGCCATTGGTTCGTGCGCGCGCGTCAGACCATTTTTCTGTTTTTGAAGAAGGGACGTGAAACACTTGATGGGATGTGAAACCCCTTGGGGTTGAAAGGTCAGTGGATGTACCACCCTTGAGAGGAGATGCCCAACTTTAGGATGGGATAGCCCCCCATTTAGGATGAGGCGATCACGAACCACTGGGGTGAGATGCCCCACCTTGGCGATATATGGTGCCACTAATTCAGTGGCAGCACGAGTTGAATCTTCCGTGATCATACGCTGAAGGTCTTCTTCGGTTATCTGAACCGTTCGAGAAGTAAGTAGAAATTGATCATGTTGAGGACCCAGTGGGGCCTCACGAGGAGGAGCGTTGGCTCCTGCTATGACGAATGAAATGTTTTGGGGGCGATGTGAACCCCCAGGGAGTCGATAACCCTTGGCGAACGAAATATTTTGGGAGCAGATGTAAGCCCAAGGAGTCGATAACCCTTGGCGAACGAAATATTTTGGGAGCAGATGTAAGCCCCCAGGGAGTCGATAACCCTTGGCGAACGAAATATTTTGGGGGCGATGTAAGCCCCCAGGGAGTCGATAACCCTTGGCGAGTGAAATATTTTGGGAGCAGATGTAAGCCCCCAGGGAGTCGATAACCCTTGGCGAGCGAAATATTTTGGGGGCAGATGTAAGCCCCCAGGGAGTCGATGGCGGTGGTGCCATATGTGGCTCCACATGTGGAGCAGGTGTTGGTATCGCGTTGGGAGCGTTTGCTCCCATCGTGGCGATAATATTGGGTCACGGCCTCTCTGGCAGCGCGAGTTGAAGCTTCTGCTATCATGCGTTGGAACGCATCCTCGGTTATTTGAACCATTCGAGGAGCAGGGAGTGGTGGATCGGCGAGTGGTGGGTCCCGATGGGGGATCACCTGAACCTCGCGATGCGGATCCATGGGATGTGGAGGAGGTGGCAAGCCAGAGCCTCCACGAGATGGGAGGTCGTTAGCTGTGTCACTTTCTCTCCGAGCAGACGCCTCAGGAGGATCTTGTTGGCTACGTGATCTGGTTTGCATCGTTCCCACAGACGGCGCCAAAATGATGATGCTAAAAAGTAGATCACCTGGGGTAGTGTAGAAAATGTATTGGGAGAGCAAAGCGGATCGGTAGCTTGACAACTTGATGATCCTGAGGTACCTGCGAAATGAACACACGTGAACTACGCCGGGGGTTGATCCGGCGGAAACCCCTCCGACGCTCAAGTCAGACGTGCTGATCATAGAATTAGTCCAGAGAATACGTATTGTAGTATTGCTCAGTTCATAGGACGTACCTTAATAAAATGAGTAAAACCTCTATTTATATGTCGTTTATTGGGTTGGGTTTGCTTTGTTGGGCCCAAGCCTTACTTGAAGGTGTTTGGGCCTCGGTGATATTGGTCTTCGATATTGGGCTCGTAGCCCAGTAGGTAAAGAAATTGTAGGCCCATTGGGTTGGCCCAATTAGGCATATCATATCCCAACCCATATCTTTATAACAGGCCCCTAAGAATTTGGACCATCACACATTCATGATTTATGTTATTTCCATGTGATTTTCTGTAAGATTTTTGTTTCTTCTTATTTTGATTCTTCTGTGTGTATATGAGAGAGAGAGAGAGAGAGAGAGAGAGAGAGAGAGAGAGAGAGAGAGATTTTGATTTGATGTTACACCGAGTCATATACATTAGGTGATTTCTAACATTTGGTCGGCCGGCAGATAATCAAGTACACATCCGTGTGTATTTGCTTAATGGATGGTTATTTAACCATAATCAACGATTAAAAACCACCTTGTGTAACATCTAAACCCCGTATATGCAGGTCCGTTCATGAGATTTTGGGCGAGATTTTAAGACGACAAAAAAATAGGGCCTTTCTAAATCTAATATAAAACTCATTTTTTTTTAAAGGGTGATAAACTCTATATTAACTCGTTTTCGTAAGGTATATAGCCAGTGACAAGACAAGAAATTTGTGATAGAGTGGGGTTAAAGTTTGCGGGGTTTCTGGGGCAGCGCTCTAGATTTTTTTTAAGGATAATTTACATGAAGTATCACTAAAACAAGTGAATATATATAAAAATATATAAATAAGATATTATCTTATATATAAAAGAAAGAAACGTTGTACCCTAAAAAACCTTTATGGTATTTTTTTAATTATTTATTTTTAATATTTTTTCTCTACTAATTTTCAACAATTATCAATTTCTTATTTTTCATTAATATATCTCAAATCTTAAGAAATAAAGATAGAAATTCGATTTATTAAATATAAATCTATATATTTGGATTATAAATCTTAATATGTAAAATTTAAACAAACTAATGTTATAAAAAGAATGAATAATACTACATTATTAAATTTTACTATGTTCCTATACTATATTTTCTTATTATGTATTAAATTGATTTTTTTTACTCTTGAAATAATATCACGTGCATCGCACCGGAAAAGATGCTAGAAAATTTAATAATTAAGGGCCTCATGATTAGAAAAATTATAATATTCGGTGGCCCTAAATTTGAAAAAAAAAAATCGCCCACCCTAAGACTTGGATTATCACATACATCCAGTTTTTAAAGATTTCAATTGGATCCGATCCGATTTATTTTGAACTTCGATTTAATATGGATCGAACGGAGTCCACATATCTCGATCGACATCGTCACCCCTACGTATGCCCTATGGGCTCCCTGGCTAGGTACAACATAAACAACATCCATAAAAATTAAAACTTTCATGATTAGATCCGCATATGTTTTTTTGGTATATTATGTTGGTACATATATAAACATGCATTAGATACACTTCTTAAGGCGTCACAAAAAATATAATATCAAATAATATAGTTTATTATATATTTATATTCTATCTACAAAACATATATAATAAATATATAGATATTATTCCTTTAACCGTCCAATTAGAAACATTATACTTAGCTTGTTTTTTAGTGTTCAATGGTACTATGGTAGTGAGAAGATCCCATATATCCCGGTTCAACATTTCACTGAAAGATACGGCTTTCTCGAATAATAATTATTTAATATTTTTGTCATATATTCGAATCTTTGTGGGATTTGATTCTCTTGTTTTAGATTAACTTTAAACTCTAGTCATCAAATCAACCATCAACCCAACTCTGGTTCAGAGAATAATACGTCTCGTTTGGTTGGGGAGATCAACCATTATTAATGAAATTTGTTTGATGTTTGGTATCTTCAATAATTTATCGAATCGACCCATAAATATTGTATTATTATGATTTATCTTATCTTCTAGGGAGCATTTTTGTCTGAAGTCCCGGGGCCGATAAAATAATTGGGTTTTCAGTAAATCATTTAATTTTATCTCGACTAATCTTATCTTAGCAACCAAACGAGGCACGTAAGTCATTTATTATATTTTTTACAATTTTTTTCTTAAATGAACATAAAATTAAAAAAATTGGATTCAGCCCATATGAGTCATATGACAAAGCCCGAACCTACTAAATGAGGTTTAATTTGCAGAGTTAACATAAACATAAGCATAGATTGAACATATGAAATATAATTTGACAATTTATTATGTCTAAACAAAAAATAGTAAATATTATCCATACAAAGAAATTCAACACCCACAAGCGTTACGAAGAGCAAGCGAACTTCAGAGTCACGAGTCCAAAATAAAACGAGAGTGCCAAAATTACAACAATCCATTACTCTAGTTCTCACGAATTTTCCACAAATGCGAAAAAGAAAATAAATTTAAAACAACTGATAATAAAAAATAATAATAATAATAAAAATAAAAATAGGCTACTTGAGCTCAACTATCCAACCCATTTTATCCTCAGTGAGCCCCATTTGAAGGCTGGTGAGTGCTGAGTAGAGTTGCTGAGACACGCGCCCCACTCCTTCGCTTCCATACGACACCCTGCACCAATTAATTTAATATTTGCATTATGTCACCAAAATTCTTACATGTAATAATCTCGGAATTTCTGATATAATTTTGCTGATTTTTTTTTTTTTTTTTTTTTTGGTAATGAAGAACTCGGATAAAGAAATTAACCTTTTGCCAAGATATGTTATGCTGCCTACAGGTGAGACCACAACAGCAGTTCCAGTGCAAAACACTTCATCAGCATCGAGCAGTTCCTCTACCGCCACATGGCGTTCCTCCACCTATTATTATATCACAAGAAAAAAAAAACACGGAAAATTATAAATCAGTTAAACCTGTGCGGTGCTTAAAGAATTGCCGATCCTGTTAATGCAACAGCAAACAATTAAAACAATACGAAATATGATAAAATTAGTATCTTTAGAAACTCAAAAACGGGAATAAAGTACCTGGAATCCTTGACTAAGAGCAACGTCTAGTATGCTCTTTCGTGTGATACCTGGCAGGATTGTCCCTTTTATTGCGGGAGTCGATATTACATTGCCCTGAGTATTATTTAGTAAATTGTTAAAAAGGAAGATTCCACATTGAGTAGTGTTTACTAAAAAACGTAACAAGTTTAGTTAGAAGAAATCGTACCTTGACAACAAAGACGTTGCAAGAGGAGACTTCTTCCAAGTATTTTTTGTTAATGCTGTCTAAATAAAGAACGTCGGAATATCCTTTTGCTTTTGCAGCACTCTGAGCCTGTAGAACCTGTGTGAAATAATAGTCCGAATGATTCAGTTTTCAGAAACGGGATACAAAAGGCGATACACATAAGAGTTATCTTTATACATTGGGTGGTGTTTGTGAGTTAACGCGTAATCTGTAGTTCGGTATTTGCAAATATAAGCTTTTCCTTTTGTTTCTCTTATAATAAATTATTAATCTCAAAAGCACTTTTGTAAGTAATCGAAAGTTGCATTGGATGCTTATGCCCTTATTGTTTTTATCCAAACCGACTTCCCCCCTAATTTGTATCTTTAATTATTTACAAACTTAAAGTGTGTTCTTAATTTTTCCTTCCAATTATTTATAATATTTTTATTTGAATTATTAACAAGTATTTAGAATGTTGTGAATTGAAGTTCTGTTTTTCAATGGATCACTATTAAATCTAGTCGTAATATGAATAAAAAAGTTGAGAAATCTAGAATAGTTCGTATAGGAACTATTCTATGTTCAAAAGAAATTACGGAGGCCCGATTCCCCATATACACTAATATAAACAGGAATAGTGAAGTACGAAACATGAAAGTAGTTCAAACGAAAAGAAAAGCGGATAATTTAATAGGAAAAGGGATAAGAACAGATACCAAAATTACTAAATATAGAAAGATGCAAAGTTATGAAAGCCTTTTCGGAAACAGTAAAAAGGCGGGTGATAAGTAGACACAGATGTAAACAAGAACCAACAGAATAATAAGGTATAAATAATAAAAAGAATAAAAAGAAAAGTGACTCACAGCAGCATAATTTCCGATAGTCTTCACTCCGCCAGTACCACCAGGAGTTGCTCTATGAATTTCAGTCTCGACTATCAAATTTATCGGTGCCAAACCTTCCTGAAAATACAGCACATAATCCAAATAGTACACAGTAGATAAAATATTTCTTTTTTTTTTTTTGTTTTTTGAGAGAGAGAGAGAGAGAGAGAGGAACCCAAAAAATATTCGTCCTTGCGTAAGTATTCATATAATTTGTTCCTATTACATAAAGGGAATGTAGCCAAATCAGGATATTCAAGTGTTTTCCGACACGAACTATTCATTCAAGAATGCATTGTCACATATCATCATAAACATGAAAAGAGAATATTCTCAGACAGAATCATATTTCCTTAAAACACATGCATGCATAAGGATATAAGTCGTTTTTACCTTGAAATAGTTTCCAACAGGGGAAACGTAAATCAAGAATGTGTACTCGGGAGAAGGTGCGAGACCAAGAACAGCTCCACTCCCCATAAGCAACGGTCTTATATATAAAGAACCTTTACCCGGTGGCGGAATCTGAAACATTAAAAAACGATAAACAACTCTCGGAAACAACAATAACATCACAAATAAATATTGAATCGAAATGGTACCCATCTCTCGTTGGCTAAAACAGTGGCTTTCACAGCCTCCACGAACTGATCCACAGTCGGTGCAGGCATGCACATTCGTTCGGCCCCCAATCTAAGGCGTTGCCCGTTTTCCTCGGGGCGGAATAGTAAAATGTTGCCGTCGTGTTTCCTATAAGCTTTTAATCCTTCAAACAATCCCTAAATTCATATATTTCAAGATTCAGAAATTGAGGAAGCGAAAACTTATTACTGGGGTAGTAGTAAACGAGACATTGTAACAAAACCTGGCCGTAATTCAAAACGCCAGCAGACGGGCTCAATTCGATGTTCCCGAATCGGATTAATTCACCTTTGGAAAAGGTTTCGCCTTGGGAACACTTCATCGTGTACATGTAATCAGTCGGCATAAGCCCAAAACCAAGGTTGTCCCAATCAATGTCAGCTAATTCTGATGCCACATTGCTGTATAAAATTAAACCCCCAAAAAATCAAAATCAAATATACAAAAAAAAAAAAAAAAAAAAAAAAAGAAGCAGAAATTAGACAGTAATTAATTGAAGTGAGAAAACGAATATACCTAGTGGGGGAGGCCACTCGAAGAGAATTAACATTGTTATTGCTGTGATTACTGAAAGAAGCGAAACGGGTCTGCTTCTGTAGCTGCGCACAAAATCAATACTATAATCAAAACAAAGGATCTAAAAATAGAAATCAAATAAATATCTAAATTGAGAAGGGGGCGGGGGGCGAAAACCCCCCATTGGAGTGAATGGCGGCGGCGGCGGCGGAGAAAACAAAATACCTGGAGAGAAAGAGAATGGGGAGAAAGGAGTTTATGGTCGGTGGAAATAGGGGGAGGAAGAATCTTAATAGCACTGCGGGAAGGGCCGAGGAGAAGGTGGTGGGAAGGGGAGTTAGGGTGTAGCCCTGCGAACACAGCGCCGCTCTCCATTTCTCTCTCTCTCTCTCTGGTTTTCGGGTTTTCGTTTCTCTCTCTTTGACCAGTGAGTGTAAAACGATGAACAAATAATAATATACTAGTCAAAAATTCAAAGTAGGCCCTCCTTCTTTCTATTTAAACCCAAGTAGCCCCTGTTTTATATAACTTCTAATATTTTGACTGGCAATTTACGGAGACGATTGAGGTACTGACAAATTACGAAAAAGAAACTATCTTATTTGGATAATTACAGTTGTCCCCTTCCTTTTAAATATTTTTACATAAAGGGTTATGTAACTCGGTTATTTACATAATCAAATCATATTTTTAGTTCGGTAAACGGTATATTAATGTTGGCAATACCGAAATTTCGGTTCGGTTTCTTACCTATTTAACATCCCTAAATTTATATTTGGAGGGTTTTTTTTAAGATAATATATAGTTGAGGGGATGACTGTAATTATCCAAACAGTAGGGACGTTTCATAATTTGACCATAACTCAGGGGGTTGACGCAATTTAACCATATTTTGATAAATTCGTGAGAGGAAGAATCTTTTTACGACCACCCCTCAGATATGGTTAAATTACGAAAAAACCTCTTTAATTTGGATAATTACAATCATCCATGGACTATATATTGTCTTACACGTCAATTCTTACGGTCTTAAATTTACTTAATGAATGAGGGGTATCTTTGTAAAACAATAGATAATCGAGGGATTGTTGTAATTAGCAAAACATGAGGGTTTTTTTTTTTAACTTGACCTTACTCCTGGGGTGGGCCCCATTTGACCTACAAAAAATCTTTTTGGAGTAAATTTATAAGTTTTTCTAAATAGTTCACAAACTATACAAGCAAATGTAAGTGAAATTATAATCGGTTTTAAACCTCTATAAATTACTACAATTATGGCTAACAAAATTCTATTAATTTAGCGAAATATTAAATTATTAAACTAATAATTTTGTACATTTTCATTATATTGGAACCAAAGCAAAATTATTATCCAATCGAGAGATTACTAATTTATTGAGTATTAACTTATTGACGTTCTACTATAAACTTATGCGATATGATAAATTCGTGGTAGAAAATAATTGGCAGATAAGGACTTTGGGGAGGGGGGGGTGTAGTTGACGGTAACACTGGCGGCGTTACCTCTCACTCATAATATTTTACTGTTTAATAAATCGTAATAAATCTCATTCGAATTCTAATATTTAAATAAAATTGATATATACAGGAATAAAAATTGCAAGACAACGAACCTCCATTGTTGGTTTCTGCGGTAGAACAACAAGGCTCAAAAGCTGAAGATTGCAGTGCAGAAATTTGAGATGCCAAATAATAGTTTTTGCTTACTACTATTTTCTCTCTTGTTTACATTACATTAGCATGATGTCTATTTATATATAATAAGGTGGTGTTTGTAAAAGTTTTTGGAGATCCACTTTGAAGATTTTTATATTAAATTACAAATCTTTAGCTCACATCACAAATTAATTTCCAAATCTTTTTGACGTATTTCAAGTACATTTTTTAGATAGTGTTTATAAAAGTTCTTCAATAAATAAAAGTTGGTGATTATGAGTTAAGTTAATAATAAATGTTTATTTGTAAAAGTTGGGTTGTTTACAAATAATTTACTTTAAGATAGTTGTTTCAGTGGTGTTTTTTTATATTTTAGCTTAAATTAATTTATTTTAAGAAAATTAAAAGTAAAAGTTGGTATTGCAGATACTTCAAAATTGATTTTGAGCCAAAATATAGAATTTCAATAAATTATAATTGCATGTTTATCAATTTTTCCCCTTATCATTCTTAATTTCTTAGTGAAAAACTATTAACGACAAGGTTATTTTAATATTTATTTATTTTTGTACGATGTATGCATATTTATTGAGTTTTTTAATATATACAGAACCAAAACGATATATAAATTGGATGAATGGAGTAAAAGGGATTCCACTAAAACAACTGCGAAATGCAGCCGAAAATACTCATAAAGCGAGACGAGAGCATGATTAAAATTTTAAAATAACATAATTTAATTAAAATGAGTTCGAATTTGGTTGTTAGTAGTTCATTTTCTTGATTTAAAAATCTGTTCACATATAACAACCACTTCTTTTTATGAACACACATCACAACCCTAATCCATCTAGGATGATATAATACACAATTTTTTTTAAGTGTAAAATTAATCAATAAATGCAACAAGTAATTCCCAAGAGTCGAATTGGATTGTTAGTAGTTCATTTTCTTTTCAAAAAGATCTAAAATCCGTTCACACATAACAACCACTTCTTTTTATGAGCACACATAACAACCCTAATCCATCTGGACGATATAATACACAACTTTTTTAAGTGTAAAATTAATCAATAAATGAAACAAATAATTCCTAGCCCGCATGGGCATAGGTCAACTGGTTCCAGGTTGATAAGTTAGGGCAATGATCTATGATCGAATTCTGGTAACCGCGGTGTGGAAATTTCAACTGCCATGAGGATTGGTTCCTTGTGAGCACCAAATCTAGGTTCGCTATTCTAACGGCCCATTGAGTCACCATAAATTTTTATTCCTCCACCAAATAATTATCGGGCCAAGAGATGGGGGCACTACGGCCTGGAGGTAGGGGTGGGAACGAGCTGAGCTCGAGCCGAGCTCGATTCTTTTGGCCAGCTCGAGCTCGAGCTCGAGTCCATGTTGCCGAGCTCGAGCTCATCGAGCCAATTTTTTTTTGCTTGAGCTCGAGCTCGGGCTCACTAATAATTTTTTTTTTATTATTTAATTTTTTTATTAAAATCATTTAATTTTTAATTAAAAATTATTTATAGGAAAATAAAAAGAAAATTATAAAATAAATAATGAACTCTAGTTATATTTTTTCTTAATTTTTCTATTATTATTATAATATTTTATATTATTATGAATTATTTAAGTAATATATATTTGTTTCAATTTAAATACTAGAAATATTTATTATTATAGACTGTTTACTATTTTGTTAATAATAATAATAGGGTAAATGACAAATAGCCCCATGACAAGGGCACTTAATTAAAAGAGGGACATCCAATTTTTTTGTCTTTCAAATAAATCCAGTTCATTCAAACTTATTTGCAAATAAGGAAAATCCCTTCATATATACCAATTACACCCAATTCATTGAAACCTAATTCAACTTTAATTTCATGATTTACACCCCAATTTAGCTCAATTTCATCAATTAACCAATTTTAACCCTAATTTCAATTTTGACCCCAATTTTGACCTGCCACCACCGGAGACCGCCGGTCGCCGCCGTTGACCGGCGTTGACTTTTTTTTTATAATTTTGTTTTTTCTTAAAAAAAATATTTTTAATTAATATTACTGTCATGGCTGCTAAATTACTGTCCCCGACAGTTATTTAACTGTCGGAGACTGTAATTTAACTGTTAATTGATTTTTTTTTCTTCAAAAATATTTTAATTAATATTATTGTATTTGTTGCTAAATTACTGCCTCCAGCAGTTCTTTAACTGTCGGAGACAGTAATTTAACTGTTATTAACTTTTTTTATTCTTCAAGAAAAATATTTTTAATTAATATTAGTGTATTCGTTGCTAAATTACTGTCTCCAGCAGTTATTTAACTATCGGAGACAGTAATTTAATTGTTAATTGACTTTTTTTTTTTAGAAAAAAATATTTTAATTAATATTACTGCCTTGACTGCTAAATTACTGTATCCAACAGTAATTTAACTGTCTTAGACAATAATATATATATATATATATATATATATATATATATATATATATATATATGTATATATATATATATATATAAAAGAAATAAAAAAAATAAAAAAAAAATAGAAAGCAGCTCGCGAGCTGTCGAACAACTAGATTTGGGCTCGAGCTCGAGCCTTTATCGAGCCGGCTCGGCTCGTTTACCACCCCTACCTGGGGGCGAGGCATTTCGCCTTTTTGGAGCAAGTAATTCCCAATAAATTAGTAACTCTAAATGATATAGAAAATCAAAATGAGTCAAATTTATGATTGTTCAAGTTTGTTTCAAATTTCAAGTCGTGTTTGAGTTTAGTTAGAATAATAATAACAAAATTAAAATCGAAAGTCGAATAAAAAACTCGAGCTCAAACAACTACCTTAATGAAGTAAAAACATGTATGCCGAATTTAATCATTACGTTAACAAACCAACAAATACTCGCTCAAAATACACAATATAATACGAGAAAACGGGAAATCCACCATCGACCATCACACAAGTACTACTGCTAATCCATACATCTACACCACACTCATCGCCGTTATATCAACGCATCTTACTAATAACTTGTATATGTTAGCCCGGTTCATTTATACATTTCGACCTACGAGAAAAAAAGAAAAAGAAATACTCACTCCACAACCTATATAAAGCACTATTATCCTACATGCTCACCAAAACCACCACTACGCATTACCTGAAAAAATAAAAAAAAAGGACTATATCAGGCAAACGTATAACACATTATATATAAATAGATATATACGTATATATATATGTAGATGAATGGATAGAGAGATACACTTTTTCCGTAACTACTCAAGAGAAAAACTGACAGCTTAGAAGTTCATCCATCTGATCCTTCACAGCTTTCCATTGATCTCTAATTCCACGTCACCATTGTTCTCCAGTTTTTCATCCTTATGCTGGAATTCAGCTTCCTGAATAAAATCGAGGAAAAGAAAAACGAACCGGTTTCAGGTTACAACGAAGAAGCAAATACGGGGTGCAATATATAGCTTTGGAATCATTTGACAAGCTATAGTTAATTTAAAAACCAAAGAAGCTAACCTCATTGTCCCCTGTGATTCTTTCAACATCAACCGTTGTAACTTCTTGAATTGTGATGATTTTATCTATATATACAGTGGTCTCTCCACCATCTGGAGTTTGATTGAATTGTGTAACCGTGTGCTCAATCTTCGATGCATTAGAGTACTTCTGTGTCGAGCTGCATAAATACAAGAGACAAATGAACTCGCAAGAAAAAATTGTATGCAACATGATGACCATAAAATGGCAATAAACGAACTTTGATTTTCTTTTTTTATTTTCGGTACCTTGGGGTAGAATTTTCTGATCCATGCGTTGTCACGTCTTTTTCTCTCCTCCTTTTTTTGTTACTCTGTCTTTGCTCAAGAAGTGTATCAGCACATCGTTTGAGCCACGAGAAAGGAGCAGAGAGGGGAGAAGACAACTTGTCCAACTCTACTGTACCAATTGCATTATGTCCAAAACCATTGTTAATATTTCCATTTTGATCCGAAACTAATTCGTTTTCTCGATTCACAATTTTTTTAGCAGACAACTTCAAATTGTTTGACCGCATGTTAGCTTGGTGCATCTCATGCACAGTAATGGAATCCAATCTATCTTTTAGATCCTCCAATTTTCTCAAAGTTTCGATCTGAGAAAGAATCTCCTCCCGGTCAGCTCGTAGTGACTCCCTTTGTTTCTCCAGTTTCTCTCTCTGCACCTTCAATTCCTCTATCGACATATTCAACTCGGCGCATTCGTGGGCCCTCTTTTCACGGTCCAGAATTATCTTCTCTGTTCTTTCAGAATAAAGTATCTTCATTTCAGATTTCAAACCTTCTAGTTCCTTTTCAACTCTCTCTTTGAGAGAAGTCATATGCTGAAGTTCCTTTTCTTTTCTTTCCTCCCATTCGTTCTCTCTTTCTCTGAGATAATTCTCCACTTCTTCACGTCTCTTCTCCATGCAGTCATCCAACTCCTTTTTCCGTGTCTCGATATCAAGCAAGAAATCTTCACGTTCCTTCTGAATCCTACTGAACCACTCAGTGCGTTCGCTCTCGAATTCAGTCATGAAAGTTTCTCGATCACGGGAAAGTAATTGGAGATCACGTTTATATTGCTCCCTCATAGCATTCTTCTCCTCTTTCAAGCTCTCGCGCTCTTCCTTTAGATACTTAGAGACGGTTGACCTCTCCTCGGCAATACGCCCTGCTTCTTTTTCCAGCTCCTCTCTTTTCTCATCAATTAACTCCCACTCAGCTTCGAATTGTGCCTTCTCTGCTTTCAAGCGTTCTGCCTCAGCCTCAAGTTCCTGCTTCTGTGCACTAATAATATCAATCTCTTCTTTAAGTCTCAATTCAAGTGCCAACAATTCATTTGTTTCTCTCTTCATTTCTTCCATTTTCTCTTCTGCATCACTGATATGCTTTTTCTTCTCCTCCAACAGGTCGGAAAATTTCTTAAGGTCGAGCTTCTTCTGGTGGATCTCTTCTTTCTCTTGTTCGAGAGACTTTTTCTTCACCTCCAACTCTTCTTCTGCAGCCAAAAGGTTCTTTTCTTTCTCTTTAACAAAACGTGATGCTTCTTCCACTTCCTTCGTTTTTTCTTTAAGAAGTTCCGACTCAACATTCAGGTCACGTTCTCTTTCTAAGATTAAATCCTCCTTTTGCTTAATGTCTAATTCTCTCAACTCCCAATCACGTCTCTTGGCATCTAATTCATCTTCCAGAGATTTGCGCTTCATTTCCGCTTCTGCCTCGAAAGCAGAGTTCTTCATTGCCAAAATTGCTTCGTGATTAGAAATCACTCGTTGAGCATTATCCTGCAAGTGCATCGAAAGCAAACTGAATTAAAACAGGCCCCAAAGTAAAATTATGGGGTACTTCTGGGTAGTCTTCATCACTTAATGCTCATATAGGTGAGTTTAATAACATTCAATTGGTTGTAATAATTAGTATTGCACAAATAGTTTAACCGATTAACAACCTAAAAAATTTGATGAGAAACCACAGTGACTTATCAGTTATCACTAAAGTGCCTTAATAAGCATTAACAACTATTTTCTAAGAAGCTTGGAGTCTATACGTGCAAACATATTAGCATATGAAAGCAAATATGTGAAATTACTAAACTAAGTAATACATGTATAAAAATTAATCAATGATTAAATGATATTGGTTAATAAAAACATGCATATAAAAATATGAATCATGACTCTGATCAATGGTTATATGCTCCAGTTTTTCATTCCATACAATTTAAACGAGAAACCATCTTAAATTATTTCAGCCACAAGAATAGACTTACAGATTCTTTGCTTGTAACTTTAGCTTGAAGCAGAAGTGCCTGTTCCTCCTTCTTGAAGAGATCACATTCCCTTTTTATAACAGCCTAAGAGCAGAAAAATAAACTACATGAATAACCCTCTCTTGAGGAAACTATAAATCGTAAGACAGCAAAATGTTACAAAAATCAATTTATAATAAAAGATAAAATTAGTCATAAGTATACCTCCTCTCTCACTGACAAAGAACTTGCTTTCAGCTCCAGAACTAGTTTTTCTTCGTTCAGGGCGATACGTTCTTTATCAATGCTGATCTTTAAATCCTCTAACTCCTTCTCAAATCTCTTCAACTCTTGATTTCTATTAAAAATATGCTCTTCCCTGCTGTTAAGCAGAGCTTGCCCATCCAATATGGTTTCTTGGGTATGCTGTAAGACTTTTTGCCTTTCCGATAATGATTGTCTCTCCAGTTGAATCTCTTTCTCTTTAGCTTCAAAACTAAAACAATAAAACGAACATAAGACATAAGGATGAATTCAATACTAAGTGATTCAACATCGACAGGTGTTTAACAAAAACAAACAAACAAACCCAAAATATGGACAACAATGTAGAGAAGACAATATGATAAGACTGATCAACACAAGTATGTTCAAACAACTACAATGATATATGGGCGAGGGTATTGAGTAACTCGAAATCCTGCGATTTCAACTTAAGAGAACTGATTCTTTTTCGAACTCGTACCAGATCACTGATTTAAATCATTCAAAGAAGATAACTATATTTAGACATAGAAGACAATCTAAATACACCCAAGAAAGGAAAGAAAGGACACCCAGCCTTTCTGGAAATAACAAACTTAACATAATCAACTAAGGGGGGAAAATAACTTACTCCGCTTTAGATGACATAATTCGTCTTCTTAAGTCATCTTCACGTTCTTCAACTTCATGCAACTTTCTTTCAGCCGTACGGTGATATCGGCTGGCTTCTGCTTCTAAAGACTCCGCTGCACGTGTTTTTTCCTCAGCCTCAGTCAACTTCTTAAGAGCATCTTCGACCATACTCCTTGCCTCAACAAATTTGCTTTCACCTGCCACCTTCACCTCTGCATATTCGGCACGCATCTCATGCAATGTCTTCTCAATCTACATAAATTCTCAATTCAGTAAGACATCAGAAATAGATACATAAACAATCATAGATACGTGAAAAGAAACCAGTACATTTTTAACGCATTCTTTCTCAATGCCAAGAGCTTTCTTGAGACCATCTTCGCGCTTTTTGGCATCAGCCAAGTCAGAGACATGAGAAGCTCGTTCACGGTTGAATTTCAGCTCAGCTGAATCAGCCATAGATTGAGCTTCCTCATACTTTGAAAGCCACTCCTTTCTTTCCAAGATAAGAAGACCCATGTGATGCTGGTGCTCATATAACTGAAAGAAGTAGACACCGATCACATCAAAACCAAGAATTATAGGCAACAGCAAACAGATTCAACACAGATATAGAAAACTCAGTACAGCATTCAACTCATCGACCTGTAAAAGAGGACTCCTTAACAAACACTAGTAATTAAGGAAAATATCACCACTAAATACAAACCCCAATTCAGAAAGGAATTAATGAAATAAATCCCGCCCCGTCAGTATTTTCAAACCGAACATCAATTTATTAAATTAGCAAGAAACGTTAACACGAACACCCCTTCCTCAAATAATTCAAGACAAAATTGAGGAAGAATACGAATGAGTGATAATCTTAGAAAACCCTAATCACAATCCCCTCAAATACATATCAACCAGCATCACAGCCAAATAAGAAATAATGCCTAAACTAGAAGGTAAGCAAGAGAAAAAAATAAAAATTAGCATATCAAACCCACTGTAATTGGCTGAAAAAATACCAATAAAAACATAGTAGAAAAAAATACATAGTAGTTGGGAGAAACGATACCTCAGCTTCTACTTTAGCAATATAGGCTATAAGTGCGGACTTGTCTCTGCGTTTGATGGACTCTTCATCGAAGCCTGCTTCTTTGAGGCGTTTCCATATGGCTTCATCGCTCAAAGGGGTTTTCAAAACCCTAGCCGAACCGGAATTCGGGGAGGACAGCAAACCGGTCGCGGCGCTCCTCGGAGTCAAGGCGAATTTATCCGACCGATAATTCGAGCTCGCCATCAACTGATTCGAATCACTGATTCTAGTTTCTCTCCAAATCTCTGCGATGGTTTTTCTGAGTTGGGGTTTTTCTCTAACTTTTCAGTTTGTTCTTCTTTTTTCTCCACTAACACAGAAAGAAAGAAAGAAAGAAAGATTAATGATTTGATTTTAGGGAGTGGGAATCGTGTTAACTAAATCGTGTGAGTAAATTAAGCCCGTTGATACTAATTGCCTTATTAATTCTATTTATTTTATTTTATTTTTATTTTTATTAGATAATAAACTTTCAAAAAGTTTGAGTTTGCAATTTACAGTCTGGATTACGGTCAACGTTTGCTGTCAACGTCAATTTATTATATATTTTGTTATTTTGACCGATTATTAGTTAATAAATTACTAATCACTTGCACTGATATTCTTTTATTGTCTCTAACTATAATGGAATTTTCGATTTTCAAACAATATATTTCGTTATAAATTTTGAAAGTTTCGAGTTTTTTCGGAATTCTTAATTTTAAAGGTAATTGGAATACATATTGATCCTGGTTTTTTATCCCCATTGGATTTAAATTTTCGAAAATAATTCCAAAAGTTAGAACTTTATCAATTCCAATTTTGATTTTTTTTTTTTTTTTTGAACAATTTATTTTTGTTGCAATTTATGATTTCGCATCTCTGTTTAGTGGATATTTTGCTTAAAAAAGTCATCAAATAAGAAGTTTTGCTAATATTTATATCACGTGAAATTTGTAGTTATTAAACCAAACACATGGGGTAATTAATGAAATAAACCATAAGAAATCAAAATTAGTGATTGTCCTACCCCTGCCTAATATTTATAGAATGTGACCAAATAGGAAAATGAAAATTTTATTCATAAATCATAAGTAAATAAAATGTAACCAACATCTTATTAACTAAATATATAGCTAGGTAATATGGAATATTAATTCAAATGAATTCGATATACGTTATCGAATGAAGTTTTAAATTTTAAAATTATTACTTTGAATATATTTTATTTGTACGTACAAAATATTAAACTGTGAAGGTTTTTATTTTACTTTGGGAAATATATTTTGAGGAGATAATTTGAAATGAAACTAATGTTTGTTTCTATTTTGAGATGACATAAAATCAGTGTTCTAAAAATCGGCCGAGGCGGCCGATTAATCGGTCTCCGAGGCGGAGGCGGTCCAAAACCTTTACGATTTTAGTGTAAAGGTTTGAAAAATCGGTTTTTTGCCTGTGAGGCGGTTTTAGGCAGTCTGAGTCGGTCCGAGGCGGTCTGAGTCGGTCCGAGACGATCTGAGGCGGGTCAAACTCGGTGGCAAAAAATCGGTCAAAAATCGGTTTTTTTTTTTTTTTTTTTTTTAATTCAATATAAAAGTTGGATTTTAATAAAAGAAAATATGAGTTTATGCCTTATTTTGTTTTATGTTAATTGTTATTGTTAAAGAACTAATGATGTATGCCACGAATGTTCAATAATAAATGTAATTTCAAAAAAAATGTTTTTTTATTTATATTTTATAAGGATATTTATGTATTATGATCTTATGATTATTAAACTTTTATTATGTTATTAGGATATATACATGATGGAGATATAACTATGTTTAAATATCTTTTTACATATGTTTGGAGTATTTATAAATAATATTTAGAAATATATTATATTAAATTTTAAAAAACGATTTATTTCCAATTTATCACCGATTAATCAACGCCGCACCGATTAATCGTGAGTCGGTGCCTGACCGACTCGGACCCGATTACCGATTTTTACAACCTTGCATAAAATACATGATAGCAGTCAAATTATGTTTAAATGTATAAGAAAAGTGTATTTTAAAAGAATAATTTGAAATTTAAAGTTTAATTTTTTTTTTTTTTAGGAGAAACTTTAGAAATTGTTACGGTTATTTTTTTTTAAAGCTAAACAAACATGAACGATTTTCGGGAAATAATAGTGTTCGAATCTACTTCATCTACTCGATGTCGTCAGGACGATGTCAACATGATTCTTCTTGCGTCAGTTTCCGACATTACAGGAATCTCAGTCGATCGTCGTGCCTACAACACCAGGAGGAATCTTCCGACCTAGAAACAAACTATCAAGTTAGATGATGGATTTTATGTATTGGGCCTAGTAGCCCAATAGTTAACAATGGAGTTGGGCCGTACATAAATATGTTTGGGCTTAAATTGGCATGGAGGTCTGGCCAATTAATGTATATATACAGTACATTTATTTATATATTCTTTTTATTAAATTAAAATCTCAAGTATTACATAATAAATTCACATTAAATGGTTACAAAAACATTTTGATTTGATGTCATATTAATATACCACCTTCCACGTGAAATAATTATATTCTAGCAACTTTAGCTATGACTTTTTTTTTTTACTTTAAAGCTA